TATATATATATATATGCATTCAAATTTAGCTTTTTGGTCTGCAGTTATATATGATTTTATTTATGATTCATAATCATTAATATTAAAGATTATTTTTACTAACAGAAGTACCGTTGCTATTTTGATATATCATAAGGACCTACCTTAAATGTTCATACTTCCATACACCTTCATCTTGGCCTTCAGGTGGTTCAAGAATTTTGTCAATATTGGAACAATCTGCTCTTATGTTCTGTTGAATGTACTATAAACAAAGAAGTTTTTATAGTTAATTAAAATATTATACTACATGGTAATCTTATGTTAAATACGTATCATTTAATATATAATTAACATATAATTTAACATATCTTGTGATTCAGCTTTTGGGTTATAAATGAAATAGGAAACCAAGTACAGAATCATAATCGGCAGAGCAGGTTCTCTAATAACGCCATTTCATCATGACATTGATAAGATGCCACAGGAACTTAACCCTTGTTTATATCAATTAGTCTATGGTAAAACTGGTTTCCTTATACGTAGTTTCACCACAGTTCCAAGAACCTACTGACGACATTAAGTGAGAACTTATTATAATTCAGAAGAAAAGTGGTAACCCTTACCTATTCTCCAATTCAACTTCTTTGGGATAGATTTACTACAAAAATGCAGATATGATATTTACCAGGATAGGAACAGGAATCAAAACTGCAAATCATAATTTTCATATGAACATAAAATATAGACAATGTAACTATAACTGTGGTACATATTATAATTCCATTAATATGAAGTATCTAGAACAGGCAAGTCTATAGAGACAAAAAATAGATAATTGCTTAGGGCTGCAGAAGAAGGGGAAAGTAAGAATGAAGATAACTGCTAATGGGCATGATGTTTCTTTTAGGAGGAAGTGAAGTATGGAGGACTCAGTGCAGAAAACAAAATGACATTTTTTGTTGTATTTGTAAGTTAAAGATTTCTTCTTTTCTCTTTTTTTAATGTTTTACATAGACTGTCAATTAAAGGAGTCTAGATTCCTTAAAGATTGACAGCTTATAACTCCAGTTATAACAAAATTTAATAATTATGAGTAAATTCAGTTACTAAATATGTGGTTCAAGAATATTATGAGCAAAACATTTTGCATACAATATATTTGTGTAACTAACTAACTAACTGATTTTGGGATCACCAAAGAAAGCAAAGAATCAGGGTCTACAATCGATTTTTTGTAAATTTTCTCCTTCCTAACCCTCTATGGCTTTAACATTTCAGGTAATTGCTTATCTTCATCCTTGACTTCAACTAACATAATTTAGGCCAAGTCAATAAATATTAAAAACCTCCTATGTACCAGATGCTAAAACCGAAATTCAAAACAAAACTATGTCTGTTTTCTATTTGAGGGAGACGCATGAAAATAAGTTAAATGCTATTTATTAAGTTAGAAATCATTTGGAAAGAGTAAAATACATACCAATAAAACATCATGCAAAAAGCATTTCATTATTTCTAGTTTCTAAGATGGAGTAAATCCACATCAATCTTTCTCTCCCACTGAACAGAACTATAAAATCTAGTCAGAGCACATGGGGCAGCTATTTGAGGTCTTTGAAAAGCAAATATCAGAAAGAGGAGCAGGAAAAAAAAACATCAGAATTCAAAGTACCAGTGAACTGGCAGTGAGTTTGCTGTGTTGCTTTTCCCCTCTGGTAATCCCTGGCCTGCACTCAATTAAGTGTGAAACCAAAACATGAGCACTGTTGATGCTGATAGGGAGATACAGGAGAAACTCTTTAGTTCTAACTAAGGAGTGGACAAAGGCACTCCAAAAGCTCAGACATTAGAAGAAATCCCCTAGATTTTCCCCCCTCTCCCTTTTCTTCATTCTTTCAGAGCTTAGACCTGAGACAATTCCACAGTGGCAGCAAAAAGCAGCTGGCAGAGAAAAATGCAAGAGACAAAATTCTGAGGAAGAGAATCCTTCCTCTCCATTTAGTAGTGTTTCTTTTTTCTCTCTTTGCCTTCCCACAACTGCAGCACAATTCCAGTATGTGGTTTCTGGCTAAGACGACCAAAGACGTGAGGCCCAGAAAACCAGAAAGTATTATAAAGATATTAGAGACAAAGAAGCTCAGAAAAGTAATTCCATACAGCTATTTTTTAACTCCTGGGTGCAACCCTGATCTGTGCACGAGTGCATGCATGGATCTGATCCTAGTTAGCATATGATAGGCTTTGATAACTGAGCTAATGGACATACCACTAGCCAGGCTGACCACAGACTGGTGCACACACAGAATAGATTTAAAGAATAGTGCAAAGGCTTTGAAAACTGAACTGACATTGTAAACTCAGTTCCACTGGAAACTGCAGGCTGTATCTAACCAGGTCAAACGTCTGCTAAAACAAAAATATCAACGTTTGCTCGTGAGATTAAATAATATCAGAGTCTCAAAATAATATTCAAAATGTCCAGGATACAATCCAGAATTACTTCGCATACAAAGGATATGTGAAAATCTCAATTCTCATGGTAAAAGACAATCATAAGACACCAATGACTAGATGACACAAACATTGGGATTATCTGACAAAAACTTTAAAGCAGCTGTAATAAAAATGCTTTAAAACTGCAAACACTTGAAACAAAAGTATAAACAAAGAAAGACATAAAGAGCCAAAAAGACATTTTAGAACTGAAAAATACAATAACCAAAATAAAACACTCACGGGACTCAATAGCAGAATGGAGATGACACAGCAAAGAGTTAATAAACTTGAAGATAGATAAATCACAATTATCCAATCTCAACAAAAATAAAAAGGAATAAAAATAACAACAATACTAATAAATAGAGCCTCAGGAACTTGTGAGACAACAACAAAAGGTTTAAAAGCCATGTCACCAGGGTCCCAGAAAAAGAATGTGATGCTAAAAATACATATACCTAAAGAAATAATGGCTAAAAAGTTCCCAAGTTTGGGAAAAATGTAACCGACAAATTCAAGAAGCTGAATGGGCTTTTAGAATTTGGTAAGGATTGCATAGAATCTGTGGATTGTTTGGATAGCATTGACATCTTAACAATATTAAGTCTTCCTACCTATGAACAATATGTCTTTCAATTAATTTACATCTTCTTTAATTATTTTCAGAAATGTTCTATAGTTTTTAGTCTACAAGTATTTAACCTCCTTATTTGAATGTATTCCTCAATATAATTGACTCTTGAATAACACAGGAGTTTGGGGTGCTGACCTGCTGCACAGCTGAAAATTTGCACATAACTGAGTGGGGAGTTATTACTGTTTAATGGGTACAGCGTTTCAGTTGGGGAAGACGAAAATTTCTGGAAATGGAGGAGGTAATGGTTGCACAACAGTATGAATGTACTTAATGTCACAAAACTGTACACTTAAAAATGGCAAAAATGGTAAAATTATAATTTTAAACAGCAAAGTGAACACCAAACAGGAAAACCCAAAGAAACCCATGCCCAGACACATAAACTGCCAAAAACTAAAGTTACAGAAGCCAGGAAAACACAATAAAAGGCAGCAGCCAGAAAAAAGAGACACATGACCTATAGAAAAAGAATTCAGGGCCGGCCGAGTGGCGCGTTGGTTAAGAGCTGGCTGGGACGCCAGAGGGCCCCGGTTCCGATCCCACATATGAGGGCCAGTGACACTGCCCTCTACAGCTAAGATGTTGAACAACAGCTCAACCTGGAGATGGGTTGCCGTGAGTTGCCCGCAGTGGTGTAGGCTGCAGCCCCTGCTGCAGTGGGTTGCCATNGAAAAAATGCTATAAATTTTCTATAATGCATATTTCAGAGTCTACATTAAATAGGGAGGAAAAGGTTTCCTTAGGTCTTAAATAAAAACCTTGTAAACTAAAATCATCCTTCACTTGTTAGGAATTATGTTATGAAAAAAAATCCTCGCTTATTTTCAATATTAATCCTACTAGATAAGTTAAGTAGTTATTTTCAAAGATGATTAAAATAAGGCAGAGGATATAGTATACTAAAACACTCTCTATCTTGATTTATAAGAATGGGGAAATATCTACATAGTCATACTTTCAATTATACATTGAGATGTATTTTATAAAAATTAGATCAAGTAGTAGTAAAGTGATTTGTCCAAGAAACTAGCAGAGTACAAAGAAGTCTTAGCATCGTGAAATTGCTGAATTGTTATGACAAGACATTATGTCTTTGCAATATCTAGGCAACAAGCCTGCAGCATCAAAAAAAAAAAAAGTAACTTATCTACAAGTTGAGGCACTCATCACAGGAAATGTGGTCTAATTTATTCAGAAAAAGTCATATTTCCACTACACTTTTAAAAAAGCAACTCAAAAGTAACAAACCCTGATGAACATACATACATCCATACTGCATTCTCAGTATTTAACTTATTAACTCATCCCAGCTCCCATTCACACTGAAAAGTTTTTAACTTCAACAACAACCTAGTAACTTCAGGATATAGCTGCTTCTAAAGTTAACTCTAGTTAACTGGTCATTCACTAATCATCAGTTTTTTCATTCAAAGGATATAACGAAAAGCTCCAAAATTCCTTACTTCAGGATTATAATTTACTTAAGGAAAGATCAGAAGTTAACAGTAGTTAATAGGTAACTTATCAGATACCAAGCCTATACTAGGACCTTGATATGATTGTCTGTAGAGAAATTAAGTATTCCTGAGTGGATAAATGGAAATAATACATTTGTGGTTAAAGGATATGATTAAGGAAAGCTGTGTAAAAAGATAATGAGGCCCAAATTTTAAAATGTAGAAAATAATCAGTAAATAACAAAGTTGAAAACTTTATAACATTGAAAATATAAAAGTGGGGCCAGCTGAGTGGTGCATTGGTTAAGAGTTGGCTTGGGGTGCCAGATCTGAGCAGCAGGGCCTGGGTTCGGATTCCACATTAGGGCCAGTGACGCTGCACCCTCTACAGCTAAGATGGTGAACAACAACTCGACCCGGAGCTGGGCTGCCGTGAGTTGCCGCAACGGTGTAGGCTGCAGCAGAGCTGCAGTGAACTGCCATGAGCTACCGTGAGCAGCTGGCAGCCGGCGTGAACTGCCAAGAGCCGCCGTGAGCGGCTGTCCAGTGGCCAGCGACTGATCTGCCTCACCCAGGAAGAGCACAATGATAAAACCAACATGGGCCAGTGAAGCCACACATCCTCCATAACTAGACTGAAGAACAAAAGGACAGCAACTTGTCTGTTCCCCT